AATCATACTACAGGTGCACTACCTATGGCCGGCACTCACCAAAGAAAAACTTGTCCTGGAGGTTTATCTGCAAAAATTGTAGGATAGCATGCACACGCCCTCCAAGAAGGACAAATCCAAGATCCTTGCGACACTGAACAGCATGAGGCTGGTGTTGACTCCATCTACGCTGAGAACCACTCTGGAGCTGCCAGTGCACCCAACATACGATCCGCTCCCATCAAAAACTGAACTGATCAGAGGAATGGAGACTCTAGGCTATGATGTACCACTTTCGTTGTTATCCAACTTCAAGCTCATGAATCTACCGTACCCATGGAAGACCCTGTTTGGCCTCGTCAACAAGTGTCTATCTCCGAAGCACGCTGGCCATGACAAATGCAACATGCAAATCCTCCAAATCTTCCATGGGATTGCTTTCAACAAGAATTACGATATGGCCCAGCTTTTCTAGACAGAGCTGGTGGACCAGGTGAAGGCCAAAGAAAACAACAAAGGGGGGCATGACAATTCCTTACGCTCGGTGGTTGGCTCTAATCATCGATGAATACATGACAGTCCATCAAGGCATCCCGAGGCGGAAAGACGAAGAGCAGTTCATCCCCCCAAAGCTTCAATACTTCAAACGCTTCAAACATGACACTATTGGCATGGCTATTCTGGACTACCTGCTCAACTTAGAAAATCAAAGGAATCCATCATTAGACAAACGGCGGGACGACTTCCCAAGAATGAGAAACCTTGGGAGAACGTGCGTATCAAAGCCCCCTTCCAAGAGGAACTCAAAAAGCGTATCTGGCGTAGACTCGAGAAGGTCAGACCTCTGAATGAACTAAAACTGTGCGGACTCACACATCTCAAAGGAAAACAAGTGGGAGGTCACCTTCATATGTTAATGCATCGGTCAATAGAGCCTCTAAGAGAAATTTTGGAAAAAGATCTGAAATCCAGCACACACCCGATACATCAGATCCTGCAAGTCAAGGCAGAAGATCATTGTGGAATCAGACTCTACTCTTACAAGCTTCAGCGCACTGATGGAAGTGAATTTGTATGTCAAGAAAACGACTTCATCATGCTCAAACCAGATGACATTTATCAGATGTTTATGGCATACAGATTCCTACCAGTCAGAAACAATAGAACATACAGCAACGATTTGAAGCGATCAAGAGGTTTATGCTTAGACAAGTCCGAGTTCACTCATCTCACGACCTTCAGATGGCGGTCGAGAATAACATGTCAAAGGCAAATCTAACACAACCAATATTGTATGGCCCAGAGCTTGAGGACTTTCCTGCTTACCACATCTTTTTCACTCCACCTACAGTTGTATATCTGAATCACAAGGATGAAAAACGCCTAATGGCGGTCAACGAGATCCATAAATACTGTGATGGGACATTGAAAATTATTCAAGAGAAGCTGTTGAAGACAAAGGAGAAGCTAGAATAAAGACTTGTGGAGGGATCATCATACATTCTGAAGGAGCTTGAAGTGCTGACAACTATTCAGAAAGCCATTGATGATCGCCTTGAAAAGAGGAATATACTCAGACAATATGAGCATGCGCTGAATATGAGAAAACATTATTTCAAAGCTCAGAGATAAAAGCAAGATAGCACTTGATCACAAAGGGGGAGATTGTTGAAGAATATTTTATTGTGTATTAAGTTTGTGAGATGTCTTGTAATAGTTTAGTCTTTACTATGCTTGTTCTGTATTCATACTCTATATTTATTAGCATAGTGAATGATATGGGGCCAAAGTGTCAGGCCCATATCTGGCGTAAAGCCTTTACACAAACCTTGCTTGCGCATATAAAAAGGCGCATAAGGCTTAGGTTTGCGTTAACTTTTGCATTCGATCTTTTAGCTTTAGCGCTTATCATTCTGCTGTAAAGGTTCACGGTATATCAAGGAAGGGTTTAAAGGATCTTCAGAATATTCATCTTTCTGTTATTCTCATCTTTGTTATATCGATATATTGTTGTAATCTATAAACAGGGACTAATAGCCCTGCTGAAGGAACCCGAACTGTCTGCACAATGAATCAGGATTGGCAACATTTCTTGTAAGCTACAGGATACTTTACACTGGTGCCCACAACATTCAAAAATAAGACGGAGCTGGAACACAAACTGAGGCACTTGGTGTTGTGTGGTGCTTCATTGCCTCAGCTTGCAAGTTTTGTATCCTACGAAATGACCCCCTCTTTTGTTCACTTACTTTTACAACTTTGTTCATTTTCATCATGTTCTTAATGTACTTTTTCCGCAGTCTGTCTGCAATTTGCGATTGTTTGGTACAGTATTTGGGATTGTTGTACAATACTCGCATTTGATTACCTCATTTAGATTGTATGATTGTTATTAACTTTCAGCATTATACTGTACTTACTTTGTCTCCTTTCCTGTTCAGAAAATTCCTCCATGTATGCACAGGCAATTGCTTGAACACACTCGGGCATATGCTAAGTTTCTTTATGGACCCACCTCTTGGACAGTAAAGGTTGATGACTTCACTTTCACTGATGGCTTTGCAAAATTCTTTATAGAGAACAATGTACCATTTGGCGCCCATGTTCTCTTGAGGCATGTTGGTGATTTCACATTCCAAGTCCTAATGTTTGACAGAGAGGGATTCTCTTTGAACTTGGCTGGAACACCTTCGGGTTCTATCATTGATTCAACTCCCCATGTATGTTTCTTACGCATTTAACTATTTTAATATATCATTGAACTCCATTTATTCTTTTTTTTCCTTTTCCAATATTTCTTAAGTTAGTTGTGGATTCAGTTGCACATGTTTTGAATGTTTTCCCTTGTGCATTGTATTCCTGCTATCTGCAATTTTACGTAGCAATGTATACTCTTGGCCATTATATTCCTGACCACTTAATGTGTATTCTTATCCATTACAAATCCATTCTTTATGTACGTTGAGTCTTGTTTGCCAAACTGCTCATACAGACAGATGTATTGCCCCCCCCCCCCCCCCCCCCCCTCCTCCTTTTTGTATGTTCCAAACCAGACTGCAAAGGTATTTGTTTGTCCAACGATTGTTAATTGCCCCCTTGTGATTTATATTTAATACCTCACAACTGCATACACGTGTGCCTTCAATGCAGCAAAGTTGTGAAGCTTTCTTACGACAATCCAGCGACAAACAGGGCCGCCTGCAAGCCTTCCTTGGAACAGACGACGTGTATCTAGTAACAGGGGAAGAGCCAGTACTGCAACAACTTCGAATGAGTTTTGACCTCAAAAAACAAAACCATCCTAGCATTCTTCAAGTATGGAAGGGGTAGAGTGAGGCTCATTGTCATATCGCAATGTGGCGTGGAGGACCCACCCAGCAAAAATCACAAATACGAAGTCAGCACCGCTTCATGCATCAACCATTCTGTCCATTCTTAGCCCACTGATGTGTTAACAAACTTTTGCGATGTTTTCTTATTTATTTTGCCTTCTCCGTTATTGATGTCAGTGCCAACGTTACAATCATTGAACAGCTCTCTTCCATTTAGTGTGTTTTAAACAAGGAAAAATTCACACCAATAATCCCACCTATTAGCGTTCTTCCATTATTAATCCCTACAATGAGTTATTCGAAATTAATTCCAATTAGTGGGGTAAGCTTCCACAAACACTCTGTTAACCTGAAGGGTAAGGCTTAATCGGTAATTAAAATACACGTGCCCACATGTGACTAAAATGTTATAAAAACGTGAGGCTCGTCTTCCATCCCTACACTTGACCTACATCTTCAACGAAAGAACGACGGGCGGCGAGGAAGACAAAGTGGGACGAAGAAGACGGGCCTCGGCCTCGAGGTCACACAGAAGAATGAATAAATCACTTATGAAGTCAGTGAGCGGTTCATCTTCTTGGACAAGTAACTCAAGCAGAGTGGAAATTGGACGTACCTGTCATCACAAAATTGAGGAGAAACTACAAACGGTAAAGAGCGGTCCGAACTTGGGAAGGAGATTCCATGGCTGCTCGCTGTGGCCAGTAAGTATCCTCTTTTCTAAATTTTGAGTTTATTCCTTTGTAGAAAAAAAAATATTAGGCATTTCAATGGCTGCTCACAATATTGAATTCGTTTGCTTCTGGTTGATTTTAAATCAATTTAAATTGCTTCTGCTCACAATTTAAATCAAATCACAATGACTTCAGTATTGACTATTGAAATGTAATTACCGGGACATTGGCCTGATTAGTGCTACGAACTTGTATTTGTGTATGTCATAATTTACTATAAAGTGTGAATGTTGTGTTGGTTATAGAATTCAGATTGTGGTTTCTTTCAATGGTGTAATGACAATGACTTCCAAGATTATGTGCACAAAATGAAGAACAAAGACCTATTAATTGATCAGTTGTTGGCCGAAAATAGAGCATTGGAGGAAAAGGTGCAAAAGTTGAAGAAGAAGAAGAAGAAGAAAAAGGAGTTAGCTGCTATGATAAGCGTCTGGTTTGGTGGCTTGCAAAAGTTGCAGAGGAGAAATATTTGCTATTATGGTTGTAGTTGCTTCTTTAATTGTATTTGGGATTGTTAGTTTTTTGAAGTAATGTAATACTTATCAATTAAGTTGTTATTTGAAGTAATGGTATTCAATATACATGTATTTGAATGTAATGTTGCTGGATCAAGTTCCATTTTGGGATCTTAAACATTTCTACTAATGTAATGCTTGTATTTTGGATTTGTGTTGAATGTATATGTTTGCCATGTTTAAGGGAACATCCATGGAATTTTGTATACATCCATTTGAAAAGGCAACTTAGTTTAAGGGATTACTTTGCAAAAGCATGCCTAAGCGCTGATGGGAAAAGACCTTCCACAAATTATCCCATGTCTCAATAGTTAGTTTAATTTCCTTTCTTCAATCTTCATGAAGGAAGTGCAGCAACCAAACAGAAAAGGCAGAAAAGGCAAAGTGCAGAAAAGGCAAAAACCACATTCAACTTGTCAATACAAGTCATTGTTTAACTGGATGGAATGAACCACATTCAAATTGTCAATACACGCCACAATCACATTAAACAAGGAAAAGTGAAATACATGCATCATTCCCTAATAGTTCCACTAAACAACAATACTGAAGGACTTCAAATGGAAAACAACATCTTTTACAACTTCATTGCATTCAAATCACTGCATTCTTTCAAGGAGGTGCACTAGCGTTGCTTGAAGGAGGACATCCACTCCCTGAAATCAGTCTGGGACCTCCAACTTGACATGGTGACTACAACAACAGACCACAAAAACAGAAATAAGTTTATGAAATTGATATTTTTTGTGAAAGTTGTGAAGTAAAAACTTAGGTAAAGGACTGCTCTAGGAATAAGATTCTCACATTAACAATGGTGTTTCCTTGCCCATCAATGAACACACCAAAACCCCGAGGGACCTGCATCTAGTAAAAACACATAATAAATAGAATGTACAACATCATATCATAGTTCAAATGTGTTATGCATACCTGGATGCCTTTCCCTCTCCCTTTTCCTCTCCCTCTTCCTCTCATGATTACCTTCCCGCCTCTTCCAGTCTGTGTTGGTTGGGCAGTCACGTTACCATACTCACGTTGCCTTTCAGTCTCAACAGAAGGTATGCCATGCTTCCTAGGTCTTCCCCTTGGTTTCTTGACTTGGTTTTGAACACTTGAGGATGTGGTCTTGTCTTTATCAAGACATTTCCTTTTATTGTGTTGTTTGGACTTACATATGCTGCAAGACATCTCCATTCCATGCTTGGTTAACTTCCCAGGTTTTTTTGGATCTTCATGTGGATCTTTTCTCCTATTTTCCCTTGGTCTCCCGGGCCCTATTTTTATTGGAGGAGGGTCCAAATCAAGCTCTTTTCTTGGCCAATGTCTTTCACCAGAACATGGGGGGATAGAATCAATGTATGCCTTCATGTATGTCTCTTTCTTGTAATAATCATGGACATACTCTTCAAGGGCGTGGTGGAGAAAAAACATGCAAGCAATGGAATGACAACATGGGACTCCAGTCAATTCCCATTTTCTACATGTACAGGTCTTAGATGTCAGATCCACAGTCACACTATCCATCTTATGGCTCACCTGAAACACCATAAGAGATGATGGCATTGCTGCACAGTTAGCTGCTTCTTCCTTTTCTTTTTCTAATCTTCCATGTATCCTAGGACATATGAAGTGGTGACTAACTTCCATTTGCTGTCTTTTCTAAACAATCCTTTGCATTAAAGTTGTCCTAATGTCTTCCATCATGAAGATCAGATGCTTTGTTCTAGCATTTAGAATATAACCATTGAATGTCTCGACCATGTTGTTAACAATGACCTCACATTTGGTCTTTGTTTGTATAAAAAACCTGCAGAATCTTCTTGGATCATAGGCTTTGAAAGCTTGTGTGGCTGTTGGGCTCAGTTGTTCCATCTCAGTCAAAGCATCATAATAGTCAGCCTCATTATATGCTTTAACTATTTTCCAAAAAGTCATCTTCAGCTCATCCCCTTTATGATTCTTGTGCCAGTTAGCATAAATGTGCCTCGCACAGTGTGTTCTGCTCTAGGTATAACTTTCTGAACTCCATTCAGAATAGTCTATGAAAATGGTAAAACATATTTAGTACAAGAAGAATGTCATAAAGTACAAAGACAAGTATAAGGATTAATCAGATGTACCCGGTGTTCATCAGAAATTATTGTGAGTTCAGAACCATCTGTTTCACCAATTGATTTGTTAAGCTGAATGAAGAACCACTCCCAACTGTCACTATTTTCCCCTTCTACCACTGCCCAAGCAAGAGGATATATTTGCTCATTTCCATCTCTTCCAATAGCTGAGAGCAACACACCACTTAGAAATGTTTTTAGAAAACATCCATCCACACACAAGACTTTTCTACACCCTTGTAACCATCCTTGTTTAACACCATCAAAGCACACAAAAAGTCTCTAAAATACGGGGGGTACTCTCAATTCCGGATTAAGTTCAAGTTGGAGGTGACTAGCAGGACTTGCAAGAGCCAGAGCCTCTAAGTACCTCCCTAGTTTGTTGTAGTGATCCTTCATACTTCCATGAAGTTTTCTATGGGCAATGTACTTCACTTTGTAAACAAAGTTCTTCTTAACAACAACTCGGTATGCCCTTCTTACAGTTTCAATAATTTCCTTAGCGGGCCAATGGGGTCTTGATTTAAAAACTTCTAGAAACTGTTTAGCTACCCATGAAGATTCAAGCTGTTTATTAGCCTCCATGTTTCTGTGACACATGTGATCACCCACCACTGATTACACCACAAACGAGCCTCTCCTACTATACCAACTAGCATATATCCTGAAGGGACACCCAGGCACACATTTTGCACCCAACCTTTGCTGCCTTTTCTTATCACTTACACTGAACATTAGGTTTCTCCTTTGGGCTACTGCAAACCTAACCAGTGCATCTCTGAATTTTTCCGTGCTTTCAAACCTGGTCCCCACTTTCCACTCCAATATGTTGTAATATGTGTGTTCATTCACCACTGGAATCCTTTCCCTCATTCTTTTCTTCAATTGGTATTTTTCTTCATCTTCATCTAGTGTTAACATCTCCTCATCTGTGTCTTCATATTCACTATTAAAGGCAGAATCACTGTCTTTATTTTCTTGCACATGAGTCTTACTTCTTCTGTGACTTTGACCTGGAAGTTTTCCCTCAACGGCTTATTTTTGAAGTCTACTGGCAATCCCCAATACCTTAGCATTCCACCCCTTTACTTCTTCCCTCACCCTTTCATACTTCATCACTGGTATCTCCCTCATATCCAAACAAGTCCTCCTCTATGTTCTCCATGTCTTCATCATTTGAAATAAGACCTTCCAAATCAGAACTTTCACCATTTATGTACTCCTCTTGAGTTGTTGGAGTATACAGAGGTCAGATGAGTTTTCCTCTTCATCCCATGTGAAAGGGCTGTTTGGTTTGTCACTCTCAAATGCTTCTGAATCAGTTGTCAAGGGCTGTGTGAAAGAACTTTCATTCTTTTTCTTCCTAGCAATTTCTTGAAGAGAAGTTGAAGAAATCTCATCGGTAACACCCTTTCCCTTACTTCCTCCCTTTGGACTAAGCTTCTTTTTGTTGTTAGATAACATGAATAACATCAATTCCATGAATAACACTAGGCTTCACATATTCAATGGCTTCAATTAAATCGTGAACATCAATTTCATGAATAACATAGCAGTCAATGCACTTGGTCTTTAACACTAATGCTATCATATCTCTGACTTGATCATCATGATATGCCCTTCGTAATCCATCTTCATAAGTTACATTAGGCACCATGTAGTAAATGGCATCTATTGTACAATAGTCCCCACATTTCTTAGCCAATTCTTCTAACCAAAACCAACATAGCTCGCCTGCATCTATATCAAACATCCTAAACTAACCTCCCATGTATTCTAGTCTTCCAATTTGATTCTTCTTAAATATTCCCCCATGCCATATGCGCAGACTTACTTGAGTTTCGCCCAAACCCTAATAAGCGAACATAATTGTTAAACACATCACAAGTGGACTTTTTGTGAGCATATATATATATACAAATCTGAACAATAACAAACACTAAGAATCACATATTGTCAACATACTCAAAACTGAAATCATACAACAACAACCTAATGAGCAGAAAAACCAGAACAACAACAATGCCAAAAAACAAAGAAAAATTACTTTACCATTCTTCTTTGAGCTTTCGTCTGGTATATATTACGCTTGTTGTGAACTCGTTTCAATTCCTTGAAGGGTGCGAATGGGCAATCTCACGAGCCTGTTGTTTGTCGCCAATGGTGATAGAACTAGGTTAGAATTCAACGCACTTCAAAGAGGGTTGATGTTGTTAGGTCGTCTTTTTTAAAAAAATTACCGGGTAAGCTGGTTGCTAGTGTCGTGAGAGTGTTTGTGGAAGCTTACCCCACTAATTGGAATTAATCTGGAATAACTCAGTGTAGGGATTAATAATGGAAGAACGTTAATATGTGGGATTATTGGTGTGAATTTTTCCTTTAAACAATGACAAGGTGTACCTAAGTGATTGAGTTACTACTTCCTCTTTATGTTTTAAAATGTTTTTCCCCACAACTTTTTGGCTTGATTTCCAGCGTTGGGCACAGATTACGCGTGATGCCCGGCTAGTTATAATATATACCTATTAAAATTATTTCTCAAAATATACTCAAAGTACTTTATTTAATTATTGCCTAAATAACTGTGTCGTATTGTTATGAGAACCTTTGAATGGGACGGATGTAGTAATAAACTAATCTAATAATCATATCAAACTAATCTGCTTCCAAGTCGATTTTTTTATGAAATTTTATAAACATGTTTTTCATCCAGTTTCGATTATGGCTACAAAATTTCAGCTTAAAATCTAGGGAAATTAACTATTAACCCCCTGAGGTTATATCATAATTATTAATGCAACCTTGCATTTTAAAAAATCAATTACTTACCCCCTCAGTTTGGATCATTCTCACTCTTTGCACCCTCACGTTAATATTTGTTAAATTTAAATTTAATATAATTCTTAAATTCAATTTAAAATGTCAATAAAATTAATTTTTAATGTAAAACACAAATTAGTATCATAATTATAAGTCATTGTTGTTGATTGTAGTTAATAAAAAATTTAAAACACAAATTAGGTCTTAGATTGACTGCTTTCAATTATTCAGATCATGGAATAATTGGAATAATCATCACACATTTTGTCTTTTATTTTCCTTATTGATATTAAACCTATATTTTAGGTCATGGAATGATAACAAAATCTAAGTATTTCTTCTTTGCTACACACGGAAGAAATGTCATTGCGATTAATTACACCGAATGAATTACAAATTAGACTTGTATATTCATAATAAAGAAATGCCTAGAATTTTGATAACACATTTTATAAACAATTTTTTTATGTATCCCATGAATATGACTCGTGAATCTTCCCCTTAACTACCCTCATTAATTGTTACTCCACGATCGAGTAGTTAAGCAGAAAACAAATGATCATCAACAATGACTTATATATATGATGATAAATTGTTTTATATTTTAAAAATTAATTTTAAATACAACTTTCATTGAACTTAAGAGGTATATTAAATTTAATTTAACAAATATTAACGTGAGGGGATATATAGTGAGAATGATCAAAACTTAGGGGGAACTAATTGATTTAAAAATTTGAGATGACCTCAGGGGGCTAATAATAATTTCAAAACTACTTGATGTACACACCCTTGTACACACCTTATACACATCATGTTTGTGAAGCTTTTTTTTGTATGTGAATCCGGTTCACAGACAATATTTTGTTTGTGCAAAATATTGTCTTTGAGTCGATGTTCACAGACAAAAAAAACCTTTCACAAACATAGGTGTGTACAAAAGTGTGTATAAGAGTGTGTACAAAAGTCTTTCGGCCTTATTCGTGGCTACTCACTGGATTCACACGGCAGGTTATATGGATGTTGAGATTGAATCCGATTCTCTTGCATGAATCTCTCTTCTCCATTGCACTCCGTCTTCTCCTAGCTTCTGACATATCATCGACCCGATTAAGAAGATAGCCGCAGAAAATACCTACTCCTTTGCTCACTGTTACAGAGAGGCAAACGAGACAGCTCACTGGATTGCTCAAATGAATGCTTCTCATCCTACCGTCTATTTTCATCTCGATCAGCTACCTTCTCGGATCAGAGGAATTCTGCACCTGGATATTGTTGGTTGTCCACAGGTTAGGGTTGCCTAATCGGGCACTTTACTCTTTCTGTTGAGTTTTGATGTTTCTTTTAATTTTATTTCAATTTTGTCAATTTTGTATTGTTTGTTGTAATTGGGTCAAGTCTGGCCCCCAATTTTCGTTTTTTGAGAGAGGTTTTGATCTAGTCCCTCTTTCTTTTTGTACTCTATTTATTTTTAATAAACTGTAGCAAATGTTCCCCGGTGTTTGTCTACCAGGTTCAAAAAAAACCGAACCGAACTGGCAGGTCGGAACGGAAACGGGTGAACTGTCCCTTTTCCCATTTGGGTTATCAATTAACCCGCAAAAATCCAGCCTTTCACGTAAATCCGTCCTGGATGGAAATCAATCCCTTGTCGATCCCTTGGCCAGTGAAAGAGCTTAAGGTGCACTCCAACTGACCAATGCGTGTTTTTGTATGTCAGGGCTCTTAAGTTATTATTCAACCTTTAGTGAGTAAGGAACATGTTATTGTTTGGACAACGAGTATAATGAATATATAACTAATATCCTTCGTCCCTATATATATAAAAGTATCCATTCGTTTTCCACACATTTTAATAAAGTGGGATTGGTTGGTAATTTGGTACTGTTTGGCACTGTTTTGCACTGTTTTGTTTGCCAAAACAAGAAAGGGAACTTTTATTTAGGGACGGCCCGAAAAGGAAACAGATGCTTTTATTTAGGGACGGGGGAAGTATAATGTAGTAATACGTATTGCTTCTATTTTTCTCCTGTCTAATTATGTATATAAAAATCAAATAAAAATTAAAATGCTTACAAAATATTTTTAACATTTTATTAATAAGTGTAGTTTTTCAAATTGTCTTAAAACAAAGTATGCTATATATTTAAATATTTACTATTGACAATAAAATGTAAATATTTTATGGATGTATAACATAAATATTAAATACTACTATTGATTCAAATAGGCCTAATTATTGATTCAAATAGGCCTAAAATAACATCTATTCTATTTATTATATTATTATATATAAAAAAGCAAATAGCTCATTAAAATACAATTTTACCCTCAAAAAAACACATGTGTCATTCTCTCCACAATTCACTCCTCTTTTATACAAATGCCACATGGCAAATCCAAGGCCGTTACGGAACAACTAAAAGCAAATGAAGGTGAGCATTTATATAGTAAGAAAAGTGGCATCAATTTGTGGGGCCCAATGCATAAAAAACACCATTTTTCAGTGTTATATATGCAATATTGGTGTCATATGAAAGATCGTAAAAAATTATGAATTTTGATATACTTTTTATAAAAAATAGATAAATGATGAAAAGGTTATAACATTTTGAAAAATGGTGTTTTTTATGCATTGGGTCCCACAAATTGATGCCACGTTTCTTACTATATAAAGAATAAATTCCACTTTTGGTCCTGCGAGTTTTAGGCCATTTCCATATTTAGTCCACGTCTTTCACTTTGTCCACTTTTGATACATGACTATTGGGTTTTCGCCCATATATGGTCCTTCCGGCATTATTTCTGATGTTTAAAATCGCCGAAAAAGGTCCACAAATGGTTAAAAACATTAATCAAGTATCAAAAATGGATAAAGTGAAAGACGTGGACTAAAGGTGGAATTGGCACAAACTCGTAGGACTAAAAGTGGAATTAATTCCTATATAAATGCTCGATCACCTTCATTTGCTTTTGGAAAAAGGGTCATATAGACCCTTCTACTATATCAAATAAGTCACTTCAACCCTTCTACTAAAAAAAACCATCATATAGATACACTTACTATTAAAAAAACATCAAATATGTCAAGATACCGGGTGAATACTCGCAATAGCAGGTCATGGGTTGATTTCACATATTTTTTGCATTTTCATTAATTTTTTCATTTTTCTTTTCTTTTGCTTTCTTGTCTCGGCGCCTTATATAGTAGTTCGTACAATCGTACGTAGTATATGCTACGTAACTACGTATACGTAGTTCTCAAATCTCAACCTCCTGACTAACATTCTCGTTTTCTTCCTCTATTGTTTTCTCTCTTCATTTTTTGTATTTCTTTTCATTTTTGTCTCCCACTAAAATGCAAAAATCTCTTCCCCTTGTCTTACTTTACTTTGAATCTAAGAGAAAATGGTGTCTTTAATTCCTAATTGGGACTAAGAAGCTGTTATGTTCATCTTATTCTTATTACTTATTGTGTATTCTTATTTTATTCAGATTAGAAAAATTCAAACCAGAAAAATTCAGATCAGGTCAGAAACATTCAGATCAGATCAGAAAGATTCAGATCAAATCAGAAGCATTCAGACCAAATCAGATCAGATCATATCAGAAACATTCAGATCAGAATTATTATTATTATTATTCCGTATTATTATTGTTGTTGTTGTTGTTGTTGTTATTGTTGTTCTTATTATTATTATTATTATTATTATTATTATTATTATTGGGCCAACCAAATGTGGGGGCGGAGCGCCCTGCCGACTATGACTTCGGAGTTGAGGCCGTCGAAGGGGATGATCTGCAGACGTTTGACTTAGGCATTCCGTGGACACCCCCCATCACATCGTTCTTATCCACAATGTTGTCGGGATTGCGCAAGCTTTCTCAAGCAGGACCTTAAAAGATTTTAAAAACGTGCTTACCCTTTCCCTTAATTGTCATTCTTAAAGGATTTTAAAAAATAAAATATAACATAAAATAAGTCAAATAAAAAAACAAATAAAACAAAATAAATAAATAAAAATATACAGGCCTCAACCACCACCTCAACCACCTTCCAGCACCGCCGACTCTGGGCACCGAAAAAGAATGCCAAATTGAAAAAAATATCTTCGTGATGACAATTTTGAAAAACAAATCTAAATATTTTCACCGACAACTAAGAGACTATATTTCAATATCACAAAAGCACTATGAAATACTTGTATTAAAGACAATTTAAATAATCAAATATTATTCCTCTTGTTTTTTGATAAATCAAGATTTCCTTTATTATTTCTTACTTCTAAACTACTATTCATTAACTTCTTCCCTACAATTTTTTTTTTTAACTTTTTCCGTTAATGGAAATCCAAAAGAGAATGAACAAAAAAAGAAAAAAAAATGAAAATGAAGAGAAAAGGGAAAGAAAATTGTGGAGCTCCATTCATTGAAAAGAAAAGGGAACGCAAGACAAAAAAAAAATAACACGTACGTTTTTAAAATAAAAAAGGAAATAAAATTGATACTCCACTACTATACGTATATGAAAGACAAAGAAAAGCAAAAATAAAAGAAAAGAAATCCATCTACGACCACCCTACGTTCATAATACTACGTACGAAAGGACTTCAATAAAGAACATTTAAAGCAACTTCAATGCAAGGGTCTGGATCTCTTACACACTCTTACGCATGGGTCTCATTTTTTATCTCACAATTTTTATGTGTAGGTCCCACGTATTCCTAATTTATTTATTTTTAAATTTTTTTATATCACTTTTAACCCACTTTTCATCAACTTTTTCTTCTCGAATCCCGTGTAAGGTCCATATATGGACCTTGTCATAGACCTTGGTCCATTTTTACCTCTCTCTCTCATCTTTTTCATTTTTCCCTACACACCACTTCATCCAAATATTTATTCTATCTCTATCTCTCTCTTATGCCACATCAGCTGCAATGCACCCTCCCATTGGAGATGCTCTTACCGGCTGCAACAAGTCATTCCAGGTCACATTGGTTTAATTGATCATTTTTAGAGAGCAAGTATATCTATATGATGCTTAATTTTGTACAAGGGTTTATGTGATGGTTTCAAAAAATTTGAAGGGCTTATTTGACCCTTTTTCTTTGCTTTTAGTTGTTCTGTAATGGCCTTGGATTTTCCATGTAGCATTTGTATAAAAGAGGCTAAAGGGTCAAATAGGCGTCTATACCGATCATGTAAGCTTAATTCAGTCCCTGAACTAAAAAAAGGTCCAATTCACACCCCGAATCGGCAAAAAATGGTTCAAATTTCATTTTTTTACAGGTAAACAACCGGTAAAAAGTGTCCAATTCGCACCCTTAAACTATTAAAAAGTGTCAAAATTGCAATAAATCAAAAATAAAAAACAGAAACAATATAAAATTAAAAAAATGACCGGTTGTTTATCCGTAAAAAATGAAATTTGAACCATTTTTTGTTGATTCGGGGTCCGAATTGAACCTTTTTTAGTTCAGGGACTGAATTCAGCTTACCCAACCGGTACAGCGGCCTATTTGAACCTTTAGCCTATAAAAGAGGAGTGAATTGTGGAGAGAATGACACATGTGTTTTTTAGGGTAAAATTGTATTTTAATGAGCTATTTGCTTTCTTATATATAAATAGATTAGATCGTGAATAAAAGTATATATAGACTGATAGACTATAAGTCTAGAGAGAAGTGAGAGCTAGAGAGAGAAGTAGTATATTTGCTTTGTATTAATGAATTGTGAACCCTTTACATGGCTCCAAGGGGAGTATTTATAGAGGAAATTAGGGTCGGGCTCCTAAGTCTTGGGCTTGGGAGGCCCATTTACAATTGGGCCACTACTGGGCCGAGTACAAAGAGTGTAAAAATAAGTAAGTATGAAATCTGGTTCTGGGAGTTCTATGTGGCCGAAGGAGGTTCGGCCGAAGGAGGCGCCTGGCCGATGGAGACACGGCCGACGGAGGACCATCCGAGCTGATTGCTGCCTGGGCCATATTCTGAGATGACTGTTGCTTGGCCGACGGGGGCGCCGGCCGACGGAGGCACCGGCCGACGGGGGCACTGGCCGACGGGGGCACTGGTCGATGGAGGCACTGGCCGACGGGGGCACCGGCTGACGGAGGACAATTCTTCTCCTTGGCTTCTGGACCGTATTCTGGATCGACTCTTCTACGGCTGATGGAGGGTCACCTGGCCGAAGGAGGACCCACTGGGTGACAGCTGTGCTTCCTCTTAGTCTTCTGAGTATGTGGGTCATGGGGTCTGGACCCATATACTCCATCAGGAGTCCCCCACTCTCTGAGGTGAGGTGTAGACAAAGTGAAAGGGAGTAGATCCTTGTTGTTCTGACGCTTTGGCCGACGGAGGATTACCTGGGAATTGTAGTGTTCCTGGCCGAGGCGGTGCCATAATTGTTGGCTGCCTTGTCCTTCATTTCGAGGACGGTGAATGTTCTTCATTCCAAGAACGACGAATGCCCTTCATTTCGAGGACGATGAATGTCCTTCATTTTGAGGATGATGAATGTCCTTCGTTTTGAGGACGATGAGTGTCCTTCATCTTGAGGACGATGAATGTCCTTCGTTTTGAGGACGATGAATGTCCTTCATTTTGAGGACGACGAATGTCCTTCGTTTTGAGGACGATGAATGTCCTTCGTTTTGAGGACGATGAGTGTCCTTCGTCTTGAGGATGATGAATGTCCTTCGTTTTGAGGACGATGAATGTCCTTCGTTTTGAGGACGATGAGTGTCCTTCGTCTTGAGGACGATGAATGTCCTTCGTTTTGAGGACGATGAGTGTCCTTCATCTTGAGGACGATGGATGTCCTTCATTTTGAGGATGACGAATGTCCTTCATTTTGAAGACGATGAATGTCCTTCGTTTTGAGGACGATGCGTGCCCTTGATCTTTAGGACGATGTGTGTCCTTGACATTGAGGACGATGTGCGTCCTGCTTTGCGCTTCAGTATGGCCGAAGGGTGAACACATGGTTGTTGGACGTTGAGGTACCATTGTCATGGGCTTGTGTTCGTTGGATTTTGAATTTGTTTATCTTTGCGCTGGAGGCCGATGTAGTCCCCCAGACCTTCTTCTGGCCGATGAAGACATGGTCGACGGAGGTACCACTTGGTAGTCCTTGCTTGTTGTTGCTTTCTGGATGTTTTCATGTATGTGGAGGCCGATGTAGTCCCCCAGTCCCCCACTCCTCGAAGCTCATGTAGTGAGGTGAAGAGGAGTAGAGCAATACACGTCTTCAATAGGGGGCCGAGGGTCGACACCTTTTGATCCACAATGGGGCGATGCCTCGTTAAAACCCTCATTAGGAAAAACCTTGTGGGAAAAAATCCTAATGAGGGAAAAAGAGCACACCGGATCCCCCAAAATGAAATCCAAGGGGTGAACCCTTCGGCCTAGGTGTGGAGCTGCAGCGGTGTCCGTCTGCTGAGGGGACGTCCGCCTAGTGGTGAGGACGACGGCACTGATGATCTGGTCCGAATATGAGGACGAGGCGATAGATGCATGTCTGAATATGAGGACGACGGTGGTAATGAGTCGTGCGTCATATGAAGGCGACGGTCGGTATCCAGGAAGGGAATGACGAGCCTGGTCGCTATAACAGTACCTCGGCGTTGGGAGCCGGTCTCGAGAAATGAGGACGACGGTACTGAGGGGCCGGTCCGAAATCCATGCAACGGTCGCCATCCGGTAAAGGAATGAATAAGACCGGTCTTTGAGATGTAGGATCACGCAGAGGCTGGGAGGCCATTCGTGATCTGAGGACGAGGCGATGATGAAACTGTTCGTCAGGTAAAGACGACGGTCCCCATCCTAGAAGGGATGGAGAGCCCAATCGTTGGCTCAAGACATTCGGCGCTGAGGAGACCGGCCTTGAGAGTTGAGATGAAGGATCACGTTGAGACCGAGGGGTCTGCCGTGAACTGAGGACGAGGGTGTTGATGAAGCCGCTCATCGCACGAAGGTGAGGGTCGCCATCCACGAAGGGAATGGCGAGCCCGCTTGCTTGCTCAAGACCCTCGGCGCTGAGGAGGCCGGTCTTGAGATAGATAATCACGCCTTGTCCGAGGGGCCGGTCGTGATGTGGTGAAGGGCAGGGAGTTGACGCCAGACTGAACATGACGTTGGCGAAGCCGTTCTGATGATGAGGGACGGCGCTGGGCGCTCGTCTGAATGTGAGGGACGGCGCTGGGCGCTCGTCTGAAGATGAGGGACGGCGTTGGGCGCTCGCCTGAAGATGAGGGACGGCGTTGGGTGCTCGCCTGAAGATGAGGGACGGCATTGGGCGCTCGTCCCCTGATGACGATGGTGCTGGTGAAGCCGTTCGTCATATGAAAGACGACGTTGGATGCACGTCCTTTGATTAAGACGGCGTTGATGAAGCCGCCCATCATTTGAAGGATCAGGCTCTGACCCTGGCTTGAAGATGAAGGGCGGCGCTGGACGCACGTCCCTTGATGACGATGGCCTCGATGAAACCGTACGTCATATGAAGGACCAGGCTTTGACGTCGGTCTGAATATGAAGGACGGCGTTGATAAAGCCCGTCCTTTGATGAAGGATGGCGTTGGATGCCTGAAGATGAAGGACGGCGTTGGACGCCCGTCCCCTTATGACGACGGCGCTGGTGAAGCCATTCGTCACATGGAAGAAGACGTTGGACGCACGTCCTTTGATGACGATGGCGTTGATGAAGCCGTACATCATATGAAGGACCAGGCTTTGACGCCATCTGAGGATGGGGACGGCGTTGGACGCATGTCCCTTGATGGTGAAGGCGTTGATGAAGCACTTCGTCGTGTAAACTCAAGGCTCTCGGCGCTGAGGAGGCCGACCTTGAGATAAATAATCACGCCGAGGCCGAGGGACCGGGCGTGGTTTGAGGATGACGGCGATCATGACGCTGGTCTAAATAAATGATGACGAGGCATTGATGAAGCCATTCGTCATGTAAGCTCAAGGCTCTCGACGCTGAGGATGCCAGTCTTGAGATAGATGATCATGCTGAGGCCGAGGGGCCGTTCCTTTTGAGGACGATGAACGCCCGTCCCCTTATGACAACGGCGTTGGTGAAGCCGTTCGTCATATGAGAGACGATACTGGATGCGCGTCCTTTGATGACGACAGCATTGATGAAGCCGTTCGTCATATGAAGGACCAGGTTCTGACCCTGGCTTGAAGATGAAGGGCGGCGCTGGACGCACGTCCCTTGATGACGAAGGCGTTTATGAAGCACTTTGCCGTGTAAACTCAAGGCTCTTGGTGCTGAGCAGTTTGGCCTTGAGATAAATAATCACGCCGAGGCCAAGGGACCGGGCGTGGTTGGAGGATGGTGGCGATGATGAAGCCGGTCTAAATAAATGATGACGAGGCATTTGATGAAGCCGTTCGTCATGTAAGCTCAAGGCTCTCGGTGCTGAGGATGCCGGCCTTGAGATAAAGAATCAAGCCAAAGCTATGGAGTCGTTCGTGATCTGAGGACGACGACGATGATGAAGCCGATCGTCATACAAGCTCAAGACTCTCGGCGTTGAGGATGTCACGCCCCGGACCTAGCCGGACACGTCAACAACCCGCCGTACAGTACGAATAGTCAACCGCAGTCCGACTCATCCATACTATACAAGGCGTCAAGAATATCATTCACACATAGTACATCCATAAACAAACATAATGTAAAACATGCATTTAAAGTAGCGGAAGCGTTAATACAATTGTTCAAGCCACACTTGGCATAACTAGGCATACAAGCCCCCAAACTAATCATTAATAAAATAGTATCCATGAGCATTAACTTAATTGTTTTTAAAACAGAACGGAAGAAGCACGAACCACGTCTTCCTCCCTTGAGCCTCCCGAAGCAACGGGCAATGATAGCAACTTCAAGTTCTACCTGAAACTGTGAGGTGGCCTCCCCCGTGAAGGGGAGGTCAGTACTTGGAAATATTTGACAAGTACAATAGCAACTATACTAAGTATAATCAACGTTTTAATTTCCAAGACCCTCAATATAGGGTGATATCATAATATAAATAATAATTTATATTCCCACTTATTATCTTTATAATAAGT